GGACAGAAAATAAAGTGTAGGAATAAGGCAGACAGCTAGGAAGTGCAATTGAAAGTGGGCTTTGAAAACCTGAGAATCTCTATAGTAAAAGTTGAGCAGGTCTGCTTATCTAGATGTTTAATAAAGGCACATAATCTTACAGAAACATCACATCCACTGTCACTTCATATAAAGGATCTTTTTGTCCTGTGCATATATATACACATACATATGAAGATATATCAGCACTTACACCCTTAAATATGCCTTGTACATTCACATACTGAACACTTATGAGTAACACAATTTCAGTTTATTAGAAAACCATACCAAAATATACAGTAACTACTCCTCAACTGCTAATGAAAGATAAAAATCTTTTTTAGGACCAAATGAGAATTCCCTGTACATATAAACTTATAGAAGGCTTTCAGGGAAGTTAGAGTTATCTTTAGCATTTTCATTTTACTTTATTTTCTAAAGAATGTACTTGACAATGACTAGAGCTGGCAGTCAGGCTAGTAATCTGACCTACATTAATAAGTGATGTGATAAAGGGAAAGCTCTGTTAAAGGTAATAGAAATCTTGGCATACCACAGATTATGAGATGAGTCAGAACTGTATTTGCTCTTCTGTATTTCCTCAAGTCCTACATGAAATTACATAGTATTTTAAGCTGGCTATAGTTGTTGAAAGGAAAGACAGCAAACCCTACATTCTCAATATAGGATTTACACAAACATTTTGGACAAGATCCTTAGCCTGAACACCTAAAAGTAAAAGTATCCTTCTGAATAACAAGCACATGAGATAAATTATGGGCTACTTTTATTATGGGAGTGAAGTGATTTTCGCATAGCACTGTTCTCATAAAATACATACTTTGCTTTGCTATATAAGCTACGCCTAACTATATAAAAACTATTTTGCCAGGCGAAAACATACGTAGCTGCTCTAAAACTCAGAAAGAGATGTATAAGCTATTTCTCCATTTAGCATTATGATACCTTCAAAGACTATTATGCCAAATAAAAAAACTAATTATTGTGCTTTTTAGTGCTTCAGTTTAACAAAAAGCAGTCTCACGAATCTTGTGAGACTTCAAATAATGTTTTGGTTCCTTTGAGTAATGCATGTCTTGAAATTCAAATGAAGCAGTGATGCATTTTTAATTGCACAACTAAAATCATTTTTCATGGTTATAAATGAATTAGTTCTAAAATTGCTTGTCTAATGCAAAAAGCATTTATGCAGAACAGTTACATGATATCACATTTCTGCAGACAATGACTTCTTTGTCATGTTGTCCTGTTTCTTGTCCTCCTTCAAATGTTTACTGAACACAGTGGCCTTTTTGAAATTATTTACTGAAAAGAAGTTATCCTTCTCTTTAGTAAACTTCAAAGCCTTTCCTTTAGTACATTTTCAGCAAAAAATTATGTTTATATATAAATAAAATTTAGCTCCAATAGACAATGCAACACTTGCGGTATTTGTAGTTAAGAACATACTCCGTATTTTGTGCCTGAAGTCCATTTATAACACAATCCCACTGAAAAAGAAATGAAAACCTACTAGATATATTATTAGAATTATTTTTTAATTCAGCCCTACTGATGGATGGAAGAATGTTGCTGAAACTCGGCCCTGGAGAAATGGATTGGATTCGTAAGCAGTCACTTAAGTTATCAAGTACTAGGGAACACTTTTCCAGTGGTACATCTATTTTTTTTTGCAGAAAATTCCATTTGCAAGAAAATGTCAATAGGCAAGTGTCCTGTGAAAAAAGTCTAGAAATGTCACAATTTTTCTGACCAGATCAAACTTCTCACTTCTTCAAGTTCAACTTCAGAATCAACTTTGAGACTTCCTGACAATGTACAAAGTTGCTGGAAAACTCGAAACACAAAATGTGTTCAGAGTTAGTCCAATGATCTTTAATAAAAAAGTGGATAGGATTCAGAGAGGCTTTTCTAGTTTTACAGAGGGTAGCTAAGGAACCTCGTCAGCAAATTGATGGCACTGTCAACAGCTCTCAGCACATCAGGACTGCTTTTTGTTCATGCTTCTGGTTGTAGACCTGATGCCCGTAGTTCATACTGGGACTTGGAGACTATATTTGGGTGGGGGAGAACTGTGCCTTATTCTGTGCCCAGAGTCAGCCTCACACAGGACTAATCATTGAGTGAAACAGGTAATGGATAGTCAATTTACTATTGAATGAACAGGCCTGCCTGCTCATGCTTCCTTCGCCTAGAAAACAAGGGTGCCCTGGATGCACGCCTCCTTCTGAGGAACACCCTCAGCATAGACATAGCACTTCAGGATAGGCAATGATTGTTTCACCCAACCGCTGCAGACATCAGGGAACACACTTCCTTTCTGAAATGGTGCGTGGTGGCATTTCTAATATATATTTTTCAAGGTAGTTTTCCACTTTGCAGAATTTTTCTGAAAGCTTTGTTTCAAATCAGAACCTCTTAATGTTCTGAAAATAGCCAGTGTGTTTCAGACGCTCCTCTCTCTCCAAGTACTGGATATATTTTATCACGGAAACAAAATTTCATTACTTTTTCTTTGAAATAGGAAAAAAATATACATGTACATCAGAGTAAATACTTTCTTAAAGCACTAGTGGATCCAAGAGTAAACATTTGTTACAGTAATTTAGAAAAATAAGCTCCTGTAATTGAAATAAAGTTTGTTCCATGAACAAATTTGTTCTGTAAAATGAACCTTTGATACAATAAAAGATACTTTATAAACTTGTATTATTTTACAATTTGTATTTTGTATTGTATATACTTTCTCATATAATTGTTTCTATCTTGATGGTAAACACTTCACATACTCTTAAACTAGCTATTCATTACTTCAAGGCATGTCTCCAAAAACCTGTCCTATATGTATAACTATTTGCCTTGAATGTTCTGGCTGGTCTTACAGAAGATATTTTATCATAAATTGCATATAAATTTGTTTAAAAAAAATCCATTCACAGTTTTGTAGTTTGAGCAAATTAGCTACTTGCTTATTACTCTAATTATGTTTGTATGTCTCACTTGCTTAGGTAGTAAGGTCTCCTTACTACTACTACTTTTTCTGCATTAATAACGTATTCATATAATGAGTGACCAACTCTCACTTGAACATCTTTGCAATGCTAAAATATAAACAGAAAAAAAATCCAGTAAGTGCGTAAGAAGACTCCAGGGAATACTGTTCCTGTCCGAATGCATAAGAAAGAAACAGCTTTATGAACGTTGATAGTTCTGAAATAGTTTCTTGTGGTTCTCAGCTGTGATGAATTTCAAGTATCTAATAATGTGATGCCACACATTAGTCCTTGGTGAAGGCAGTAATTTGAAGTCTTTTCCATCTGCTCTGCATTTGTTTGCAGAAAAAAGACTTGTAGAAATTTCTTGGAGCTTTTTGGCCCTTTATTAAATTTACTGAAATTGAGCAAAAGGATCAAAAGTTGCTAGCTGGTTCACTGACAGAGAGATACAGCAGGATTTCCTTAGGAAGTGAGGCTAATCAGATTGTTTAAAAATATCTGAAGTGAATTATGTTTTTTTTTCAATATCCATTTTATATATT